GATTTATTGAAAAATGATAACAAGATTGAAAAAGCGTATTGAAATTGCTAATACTTTATTCTGGCATTGACGTAAAAAAAATAATGGACCTATAAAAGTAAGAATGGTATAAACACTAAGCATATAATTCTATTAATTAATAAAAAATAAATTTTGCATTAAATAAATTGCACGTAGAACTTACAAGATTTTTGTTCTCTCTCGTTGATGCTTAGAAACTTTATTTCATATGAGCTGAGAGATAAAAACATGTAGTGATATTTATAAGGAGATCTCTAATCCTAATCTTATTAACATTGGTCTAACTTAAGTGAAAGGTACATATAATAGTATTTATAGCAGGTGATTTAGAATTCTAATCCTATTAAAAATTGGTATAATTGACCCTCATTCTATCCGACGATTCATAAGATTTCATTAATTTTGATAGTCATTTAGCACGTGAAGCATGTTGGCCTTCGGTGTGTTCGCACTTTTTAAGAAATTTTCAAATATTTAAGATACTTGAATATATAACCGATATGGTTATGGCAAAATATGGTTATGGTAAAATAAAATAATATGCTAGGATGAATAATCGAATAATAGGATGTTTATAATGATCATTAGTAGATATGGTCTTGCATATATTGAATATAAATGTCATAATCATATCTTTTTATATTCCGTCAACAAGGATCATGATTCAAGATATTGATAATTGTACGATAATAAAATATTTTTTGTCAAGTTTCATGAGATTATGATGTAATTAGTTTGGTTATGAAATTATTATCCAAGATCTGTTGGCTGAATTGTGAATTAGTATCCCTAAATAAAACATATAAAATGCCAAACTGAGAAAACCATTCTTTCCACTTCAAACTGAGAAAAAATTAGTAACATACAATATTCATATACTAGTACGTAATCCCGTGCGATGCATTAGACAATAGTTATAAATTGCATGTATTAAAATAATGAAGGAATATTGATTAATATAAAAATAGTTTTGAATGTTAATATTATTTTATTTTATGATATATAATAATATAATATATGATTTATATGTTTATTTTACTCATTATAAAGTAGTTGTCATTTTTTAGTTCCTGTTTATAATTAAAGATAATGAAAATTTAACATATAAAAACATTATCAATAAATAATGCTCAAATAATATTTATCTCTCCCTATCTTCAATTACTCATACCTTATTACAATATATTATTTTAATTTTTAAATATGCGAAAGTTGAAAAATAACAAATATTATAATCAACACTTAATTGAAAAATATTGTAATATATATTATTTTAAATTTAGATTTATTAATTTTTATTTTCATCAATATTGTTTTTTCTCATAATTATAATAATGTATATTATAAATATTTTAAATTTCCTTTCTAATGTATTAATTTATATGAGTTTATTATGATATTGTGAATCACAATATGAATTTTTAAAAAACTGATTTGGTGAAATTATTGATAAAATCATAGGAGTATTTTTGAAATCCTTGAATACATGATTTTTTTTTGTATATGGCTCGTTATCGCAAAATGGCGTTTCCAATTTTTGAAAATCTGAATTGGTTGAATTATTGATAAATCAAAGGATTCTAAACTAATTAATCTTTGATTAAATGAAATTTTTGTATATACGATAAAAAAATATTATAGTATATGGTTGATTACCGAATGAATAAAAAATTACTATAATTTGTTATTGGTGTGGATAAATAAGATTCTAGTTTAACATTGTCATAAATATGATAATAAAATATAATAATTAATTTTTAATTTTTATTCTGTAATTATATTTGCAATTCATCGTCCATGTTCAAATAATATTTTCTAAACACAAAACCTATTTAACAGAAATTTTATTTCAAGACATGTTGTATGGTCGATTATCAAAAGAATAAGAAAGTGCAATGATTCGTAAATTAATATGAATAATAGGAACTTTATTGCGATAATTGTTACAAGATAAATTTGAAAACTGATAGCACTTTATTTATATATAAAGTCGTGTTATTAATCGAATTGCACAATTTACAACAGGTAGTTATGATTTGATTTTCATTTTTTTTTAATAAATACTAAAGTAATCTTTACTATATCTCCTTTAATAGTAAGTCAATCAACTTAACTACAAAGTCAAAGTTACTATTTCAGATTATTATGTCAACCTCTTTCAATATATATAGATTACACGAATAATAATAAAAAAATATGTCTAACTATTCTTTTGAAGAAAAGAAAAAATTTGGTTTTAGGCGGCTCTCTCATTTCATGGAAGAGCAAGAAATAACCAAGTGTTTCTAAATCTTCGGTTGAGATCGAATACCGTGCACTTGGTTCTACAGTGTCTTAAACTGCTTTGGATTTTCTATATTGCCCGAGATTTTCTTCTCACTCTTACCTTGTCTATTCCTCTCTATTGTCTGCAACGGTTCATATAACGACCAATCCAGTGTTTCATGAGCGCACTCTTTTTTTTCAGTTTTTACTTGCATTTTTTGGTTAATTGAGCAACAATTTTATTAGTCGATACGACACGGTTTTTGTATATATGAAACAATGTCGTTTTTCATTGTACTGCATGGGCGCGTGTTTAAATACGTGAACAGTGCTTTTGATAGTTAATAAGAATAACAGATTTTTCACGTTTCTTCTCCAAAATTCTTTGCTCCCACCGCATCATTTAACAATGCCTAACTTTGAATTAAGTAATTTTATTTATTGTATTTTCAAGTTTCTCCAAACTTTATTAACTATTGCAATCTTACTCTAATTACCACCCGATCTGGATGATAATCATGATATTATTACAATGGATATTTTTCTCATCTTATAAAGAATTAAACTACCTTTAGAAAGAAAGAAGAAAAAAAAAGTATAGTTAAATTCCCTCTTTAGGAGGATTTAATCGTACCTGATTATGTAGATTAACGATTGTTTAGTTCGCTATACACCAAATCTGCACTCACATTCCTTGTATCTTTATCAATATTACAGTTGAACGAATAATAATTATAAGTTAGCTAGCGTATTGCAGTATCTTCGCTTAATCGAATCTAAACTTCAATGTTAGCTAACTTATTGCAGTACCTTAGCTTAGTCGAATCTAATTTTCAGTTGTCGACTAGCTTATTGGAGTATCATAATTATAAGCTATTGCAGTACCTTTGCTTAGTCGAATCTGAACTTTAATTGAATCTAAACTTCAATGTTAGTTAGGTTATTGCAGTACCTTAGTTTAGTCGAATCAAAATTTCAGTATTGGCTAGCGTATTGCAGTACCATAATAATTAAAAATTAGCTATATTATTGCAGTAGTACCTTCGCCTAGTCGAATCTGAACAATGTTAACGAGCTTATTGCAGACTTTAACTTAGTTGAATTTGAACTTCAGTGTTAGTTAGCTTATTGCAGTACCTTACCTTAGTCGAGCTAATCATATGGGGGGCAAAGGTAGCAGATAGTATAGAACTTGACATATAATTCTAAGTTTACAGTTTTGTTATGGAGCTATCGGATGGCTCGACTTATGGAGTCATCCACACTTATTCACTATATTAACATGTGTCCTACAATAAGTACACTTTGGACAGGTGTCAATACATTAAGTGATTGATGGCTCTATAAGAAAATCATCCGATGACTCATTAGAATTTTTATTTAAGTTTATGCCAATAGGCTGTCACAGTGTCCCGTCCATTCATACTTGAATAGAGTAGCTTCCATGAGAAAGACCAGTATTTTATAGTTAATTTATCTATATATATATAATTGCTAGCTAAGCAATAAATTTTACCTAATAAATAAAACCTAATAAATTTTACCTATGTGCCAAATCATTAATAACAACCTAATAAATAGAACCTAATAAATTTTATTTATGTGGCATTAATACACCCAATCCCATTAATAAGAAAATATTTCATTACATTTTTTTGGGTTAATTGAGACAAAAACCATTATATTTTATGTTAATTGATTAATAATTATATTTTTTATTGAATAATATAATAGTTAATATTAAAACTAGTAATTATATTTTATACTAAATAATATATGAAAGTTACATAAAATTATATTTTACACTAAAATCAATATTTTTTTATATAATGAAGCGGTTGTTTATTAATAAATTAATTTTTTTTGTCATAGTAAAATTTCTTAAAATCACATAAGCAATTGTTATAATAAATGTAATATTTTTCAGCTAATTAATTGGTCATGATCATTAAAAATTATAAAAAGTATATATATATTTATATTATTTTATGCGATCAATATAGTGATTCGTATACAATCAAATCGTGTGTACTATTTATTTTAACCAATGATCAAATTTTAAAATATAATACTATTATATAATTTATAATTTTAATATTATATACATAAATATAACTTATAATATTATATGTTTGAAATATAATACAATTATATAACTTATAATTTTTATATTATATACATAAATATAACTTATAATATTTAATTTTATTTACATCTGTGCAAATGCACAAGGTCGAATACTAGTTTGTTTATAATTTAGTAGATCACGAGTCACATCTTAAATAGAGTAGCTTCATTAGTTGTCATGTAGAATCAAACAAGTTAATGTATTTGTTTATAACTTAGTAGAATCATGAGTAGCATCTTAAATGCGTAGCTTCATTATTGTAATGTAGAATAATGAGAAGCATCTTAAATAATATGGGTAACATAGAAGGCCCTAAAAAACAGTGCTTGGACGATTGATAATATATGTAACTTTCAATATAAATCATAATAATATAAGATCCTTGAAAACATTAAAGACTCGCATACACTTAAGTCGGCTCAAATACCTCGAAGAAACCCTAATGGCGCTCAAACTCCTAAGGTACAAAATCCCTCTTAAATAAGAAAAACATAAATAGCTCAAAAAACTATAACTCTTTCTTTATTACTATCTCACATTATCCCAATTCTTGCAATCGATAGACCCTCTATACAACGAAGGCCCGTCACTCCCACGCCTCAAAGTCGAAAAACGAGTCGTAATCAGGCAAGCCGCTCGAGTAGCCCACCCACTCGACGTCACTTATCGGGAGGTCAGCGATGCTAATCTCGTCTGGCTTTTGCATAACCGTCTCAAAATCATCTACCGGCAACAGAGCATTGAGCCCCACAAATGAGTCCATTCTTCCTCCCATCCATGCCATCTCCGCCAATTCATCGTCAATCACCCCCCAATTCTCCGGCTTTTGCCCAATGACCAATTTGCCCTCCTCACTCTCAAATACTTCAATCTCATTATCCTCAGTATTATTATTATGACTGAAAACGTTATTCTTATTATCGTTCGTTCCATTATTATCGCCCAATGTCAAAGTCGAGGGCCGGGTAACAACTGACACATTGCTCCCACCTGAGTCCTCCGACACGTGGAGTGTCTCCTTTGGCTTCGTTTTCTCAAACTCAATCCGCTTAAGCTCGTAGGCTCGGGAGGCCTCCTCGGCAGTGTTGTAAGTGCCGAGCCAGATTCGCTTGTGGCGAATTGGGTCGCGGATCTCGGCCGCAAACTTGCCCCACTTGCGCATGCGGACCCCACGGAGCTTGCATGAGGGCAAAATGGTAATTTTTTTGTCGGGGCTTCTCGTGGGTCGATTGGGAGGGTTCTTCTCGGTTTTCGAGAAGGAGACCTCGCGGACGACCCGTTTGACCTTTTTCTTCTCGTCTTCGTCGTCGTCAGACGAGTCGGTGGCGTATGGGTCGTTGAAGATTACGCGGACCGTTCTCGTGGGTCGTTGAATCTTTCGGGTCATCGTTTGTTGGTTCGATTAATGAATCGTTTTTTTCTCGGCGGAAATGAAATCGAACCCTCGAAATTCTGGTTATCTCTTTCTCTTCCAAAAACAAATCAGTTAAAAATTAAATAAATCTTCATAAATCCAAACCAAAAAAAATAAAAAAAAAAATTAAAAATAAAGAGATACCATTATTAAAAAACAAACCATAAAAGTCCACACAACAAAATAAACATAAGCACTTAAAGGAAATTTGGTTAATTCAATTCTGAGCTTTTTACCATTGGATCAACACAAACACACACAGACCCACACGGATGTGTGTTAATCCAGCGGTAGAAAATACTTGTAGGTTGTGTAATCAACCACGAGATTTCGAAAAATTAAAAATAAAAATAAAAAGATTGTACCTTTTGGGCCTCAAACGCATCGAAACGGATGGGATACAGAATGAAAATTGCATGCAGCGACCAGAAAACGAGCAAGAAAATGATGATTTTGACGATGATAATGATGATGAAGATGACAAACAGAGCTTCAAACGAACCGACATAAAAAAATTTCTCTTGCTCCTATCGTCTTCGTCTCCAATCTAAGGAAAAGAAAAAAAAAAAGGAAATTATATCAACAATTTAAGAAAAAAAGAGAAACAAAAATTTAATCAAATATACGCTTACATATAGAGATAACGAAAATTCTCTAAATATCTCTTTCACAAAAATATATGTATTAAAAAAAGAATCAGCAAGACTTGAGATTGAAGAAAAAATCAACTACAATACAACTAATATTTGCAAAACACAAGAGTGTCATAGACTAATTCTACTAATAAATAGCAAGAAAAAAGGCTAAAAACTCTGTACTATGTGTTGGTTGCGTGTCAATTATCTATTTATTTTGTTCTGATTCAAAATTTTCGGAAAAATAAAATATATTCTGATTTTTAATTGTTTTAAATATATATTGGGTGTCTTAAAAAACGAAGCTTTATCATTTTAGCTTTTTAAATCACAATAAAAAACCTCAAAATGGTACAACCCCAATCATTAGGATATCTAAGAACACAAAAATACATAACACAAAACAAATAAATTGCACAATAACAATTTTGTTTTTGTGCAATCCAAGCAAATCAATCAAGAAAGAGTTTGATTCTTTTAATAATAATAGAATTGTGTTTATATACCTCAATTTGCTCTCAAGGCAACAAATTAGTAAGGCCTCCAATTTTATTTATTTATTATTATTTTTTTTATGTTAGTGAAAAGAAAATTGATAGGGGCACATTGTGAAGGGACGTGTGATGGGGTGTATATATAGCATGTTTTTTTTACAGATTATTTAAACTTAATTTGTATAATGAGATGTCATCTCTTTTCATGTCATGCTAGGCTATATGGTCGGTGGAAAAATTAGATAAATCCAATGCTGCTCATCCAACACTTTTATTGTTTATGGTAATAATTTGTTATTTTGTGTGTTTTGTGTGATAATTACATATTAAATCTGTAAAAATCTGTTGATGAATTTAAAAGTTGGCAATGGGTTGCAATTTAGGATTGATAGTTAATTTAATTTTTAATATTTTCAATTTGGGATTGATAGTTAATTTAATTTTAATTTATAAAGATGAGTATAACTATTATTTATTTTATATAAGATGTCAAATAGAGAGTCAACATGAGTACTTTGATATATTGAATATAAAAATTTATAATAAACAAAAAATATTAAAATATATGTATGATTAAAGTTAATAAAGTGATTTATAATATAAAATTTTGATGAATAAAGTCTAAATTTGTGAGAAATTATATATGTCAGGAGATTTCTAGGATTTATTTCCTTTTTTGTTGGGCTAATTAAGAGATTTGTAAAAATGGGAAATCTATTTTCGAGTCAATCTGAGGATGTGGGAAAATATAATTTTGGTTGTGCCACTGGGAAATTAGCCATCATTTTAATTACAATTATTGCTCCTTTTTTTAGCATGCAGGGAAAAACACGTGAGAGAGAGGATATCGAATCTTTTCGTTCTTTGGTTTTCTTTTATTTGGATACCAAATTTTCTTGCCATTGTCCAGTGANTTCAGGTGATGAATAAGGAAATTGCATCTTCCATTTTATTGGATTCAACATTTAAGTCCAATCCATATATCATATTGGTAACTATTTCTTTCTTAAAAAGAAAACTAAAAGTGATATGCTTTCTTCCATGGGAAACGCTAAGGGCGTGATTGTATATAATTTCTACAGTAAATATCCCACTCAAAACTCAAATTTAACTCAACTTTAACTCAACTCCACTATCTCCAATATTATCAATATAATTAAATAATATCAACTAATCATTATTACACACCACATCAATTTTAATTCACTATTCACACACTCACATAATTTTAACTAACCATCACTTCCAATCATTTTCTCTTACTTTTACATCAAATCAACTTTAACTATTTTAATTTAAATATTATTTTACTATATCCACTAACAACTAACCATACTACTTTTTTTCAAACTTAACTATAGTTAAGAAAAAACTAGTTTTTTACTAGTTGAATTCATATCCAATCACTCCCTAAGGACTCTCGCCAATATAAACTTTATGTAATGTGCATGTTGAAGTGAGTTTTAAATTGAGAAGGGATTATTTTGTCAGTATCAATAAATGATATGAGATGAAAATATGATTACAATTTAACTCGACTGACACATTTTATAACGTGTAATTTGTTTCACGTATTGTTTCATGAACTCAATATAGATCGATTTCGTTTGCAATAAATACGATTGTGCCAAAAGTCCAAAGACAAACCTACACACACTCTCTCCGTGTAATCAAAAGCAAAAGAAGCTTAGCCGCAACAGATGCTCAGGCACAAATGGACTGGCCATGCAGGGGCGGACCTAGGTCAAAAAATGAGAGGGGGCCTAATTATTTTTAATGTATTTTTAGATATCGTTATATATAACATCATTGAACTTCTGATTCTATTTTTTTTTTAGCCCAACAATATTAGAATTCAACACAAGTATATTTGAACTTAACGTAGCTCATTTTGATATATTTTCATATGCACTTTTTTTTTCGAGACATTTTCTGGAAATACTTCTTCATAATCTGACATATAAAATAAATTATAATGTATAATATGTTTTATCTAATATATCAGATTTTTAAAGAGTCGTACAACTTAAGTTATCAATCACACATATATTAAATATACAATATTAGCCTTTATGATGATTAAGAAACAATAAATAATTAACTACAAAAATGCTAAAAAGTACCAATAAGTTTGTAATTTTTCTGTAAAACCTAATAATAGAAGGGTTGGACTTTACTATCACCAAAATCAATGAGAACAAGATTTTATTTTTCAATTATCTCCTTGCTTTCCTATTTTGTGTTCCTTATCGTTTTTTAATGTAAATTGTTTTTCTTTGTATTAAACTATTTCATAAGTTTTTAGGGATATTAAGTCATAATTTTTTTTATTTGAGTGTGGGCCTAGGCCCACCCTAGGCCATATATAGCTCCGCCCCTGTGGCCATGCAAGAGAAAAAGACCAACCTTAGTTGTGGAAGAAGACAAAAATGAGTTGTCATAACCAAGGGCATTTTTGAACTAGAATTAATGTTATCTTGTTAGGGTTAGAGTTGTGCGGCTAGCATTGATTTTCAAGACAATATATATTCACATGTATACTGTTTTATTGGTAGTAATGAATGACTGATTTTGGAAGCTACCATTCTCGTTCAAAACCTCATCAATATGAACAACAACATGACAAAATCAGATTTTTCCTATTTGATGATTAGCTCGATTTTCCTTTTATGGTATCAGCGTAGAATGATCTCATCATGTTTCTTGGCACCATTTTTCTTTTCTGTTTTTCTTATTTTGGCTTCTTCACATTTCCTTTTAAAAATGAGTTCCACCAACTCCATATCGACAACCACAAGCAGCAGCTCAGACCAAATCATCCAACTACAAAGTTAGTTAATCACTGTGAAGCTCACTGACACCAACTATCTAATTTGGCAAAGACAAATCTTAGTTGCGGTTAGAGGATATGGACTCATGGGGTATCTTGATGGATCTCTATTAAAATCGAAGGAGTATGTACTTGGTGGATCTAGTGAAGGAACCACCTCCAATCTTCTCTTTTCTCAATA